AGTGCAGCAATAAATGAATGAAAATCCAAAATATATGTAAATGTCCATTAAAATTAATAAAATAATTTTTCCCCTGTCAAAGGGGAAAAATATATGAGACTGCGGGAGGCTAGAAACAAACCGGGAAGACAATGCTGTTGAATTCTGTCTCTCAGAAGCTTCGCTCTAATTTTTAAAAATCAAGAGAAAAGTGTCTAGCTCTTAATCAGTGTACATAGATAGAAAACAAGGATTCTCAACAGTAACAGTGCATCAGAATCATCCCAAGAAGCTCCCATAAACACCAATCTCCTACACTGTTGGTGGGACTGTAAAATGATAACAAACATTCTGGAAGACAGTTTGGCACTCCTTCAAAAAGTTGAACATAGAAACTCTGTATGACCCAGCTATTCCACTGCTAGGAAAATGTTGTTGTGTACCATAGTTAGAACCGATCCATAGGTGACCCACCAGTGGGTTTTCAGAGGCAGTTAATTGCATAGTAGGGGATTTTCCATCCTTCTTCCACAGAGCAGCCGGTGGCCTCAAACTGCATGCGTTTGGGATTGTAGTGCAGTACCTTAAGGAGATTAGAACTGAGACACAAAGGAGATCTGTACACCAGTGTTTATAGCAGCATTATTCATCATCACAAGAACTTCGAAACAGCCCAAATATCCAACCACAAATGAATGGATTAAGAAATTGTGGTATATTCGCACAATGGAATATTATGCAGCACTCAGGAGGAATAATTTTTAAAAATATTACATAACTTTGGAGAGACAGGAGAGCATTATGCTGAGTGAATCAACACAGTCTCATAAGAATAAATACTGCATAAGAACATTATTGTAGAAATAGATAACTAGTAAAACATGAAGGGGTGTGAGTGGAGGGGTGAGGATAGGTAGGGGCAAAATCACAGTATTGCACAGTTTGGTGGGTGTAGGTGGGTGGGAAGGAAACGGGAAGGATCCGGGTGAAAAACGGTATTGATGGGGAAGGTCCAATGGTGATTAATTTTATAAAACATAAGGTATGAGAATGATTATATGAAACACAATATGAATGAGGAACAGTGTGAAACACAACTTATACCAATTTTGTAAGCAAACCAATTAAAAAAACTGCAACAAAACCAAACCCAAACAAGCACATTATAAGGTGCGCTAGGGGAGGGGAAGAAGTGGAGGGGGAATAAAATGAAGAAAAAAAATTTAAAAAAATCTTAAAACACCATTGCCTTTCAAACCCACTAAATAGCTCTATGGGAGAAATATCTGGCAATCTGCTCCAGTAAAGATCACAGTCTTGAAAATCCTTGAGGGCAGTTCATCTCTGTCACTATTAGTTGGAATCAACTCAAAGATGCACAACTTAGAGTAGCACAGGGTGAAATTCCCTCTCCAAGTCTCCCCCCAGGACCGAGGAGAGCATGACAACTCAAACAGGATACTCGCCAGTCTGTATTTTCAGGCATTAGATCTGAGATTTAAATGAACAATCCTTCCTGCCAATGAGCTTTTATATGTGGCATTTATATAGCTAGCTGGGCCAAAGGACAAAAGGAGCAAGATGTGGGGTGAGAGTGGGGTTGCAACCTGTCGTTGCCACTGGTCATCTTCTCAGGTGATCTGAGAACCCAGTGCTGATTAAAGGGGAGGAGTCTGATACGGGGTTTCAGTTGGTTACTAATGAATGCCCAGCACACATTTCCCAGGCTTGGCGAGCATGTGTCTTTGTGGACAGGGATCTGAAGGACACTGAATTTACTGAGAAACTCAGTAAAGATTATAGTTAATTATTGGAGTTTCTTACAAAAGATATTTTGGAAGATTGTTCACAGATTAAAGTGCTTTTGGGTTAAAAGAAATGCCGGTACCCAAACCTCAGCCCCACATTCCCTAGAGGTTTGCATTTGTTTCTGTTTTTCAAAACAGAGAGTCTATTTAAGGGTTAGGTCTTCTCATTAGTAATTTATATTACATTTGTAACTTTTGAGAATAAAGTAAATAAAAGCATAATACTATATAGATATATATTTTAAATACCGTATTGGTTCCTTATACCACCAATCAGAAAGAATTCCTTCTAGAATTTCTGGAGGTAATGGATCATTTTCTATTAGATTTGATTTTATTGCTTCTTCCTCTTCTGTAAGCTGTATTTCTGGAGACTGGAAGCAAAGAATCAGAAAGTGAAGCATGGCACTATATTAATGAATACTACATTTCATAATTGGGAAAAGCTCTGCTTTTTTCCTCCAGGTACTTTCTTTCTTAAAACTATGGTTTCTTTTTAAAAGTTTAAATTTGAGTTATATTCTTAAACCAACACTTAATGCGGTTATAAATATTAAATTATAGCCATGATAGTAAGGAGGACTTGTGATTAGCAGGACTAATTTTTATAAAAGGACTTAGGGTCTCTGTCTCATCATTTTTGCTAAAAGCTTGTACAGTCTAAATTACTGACTTACGTGGCTAGCTGGTTTTTGTTGTCATTTCAAATAACATAGCCCCAAATTAATTCTTTACAAAGCCTTGTGAAGGGAAGCTTTCTGATTTTTCACAAGAGGTATGTGAAACTCAGTGTCTTCTATTCTAGATGGGTAGTGTTTAACAAATAGGGGATATCTCATGAATGCTTTTTATAGGTTGATTTTTAAATTCTTCATTACAAAGTTCATAGCATTTAATATTACTTTTATTTGGAAAAAGTAACACTAGTAATGACTATTTGCAAAGAAGGTATTAATTAATTACCACAAGCTTCTTTGTACTTTCTTCTTCAAGTTTAATATTTGCTTGCATTGCTAGCTCTTCAATTTCTTGTTTTGCAGCTTGTTCATCCTCAGAATCTTCCTCATATTCAGGTCCAAATTTCCTCTCAGTTTTGAGCATTAATTTTTCTTGAAGGACTTCTTCAAACTGAATGTGAAAGATGCCCAAATTTTCAGCTAAATAACTTCCACATGTAGTTTTGCCAGAGCCATGGGGGCCCACAATACACAGTCTCAATGGAGGAGCCTGTAATGGAGATCAGGTTAGGGGAGTTGGAAGAGGAGAGAGCAAAGAAAAGGAACTTTTGAGTACTTTAGAAAATGTAGTAGGCTTATTACAAATTTCCCTCTAAAACAGAGTAGGACTATTTTCACAAACTCCAAGATGATACAATGTTAGCCTATCAATTTATATACAGTGAAAGTTGGCAAAAATCAGAGCTGATGTACATTAGGAACCAGTCAGAAGAAAACCCATAGTTTTCATTACTGTTGTTTTGTGCCATTGAGTTGGAACCAACTCATAGCAGATCCTCCTGCAGATTTTCAGCAGCTGTAAATTGCATGGGAGGAGACTGCCCTCTTTCTCCTTCAGAGCATCTGATAAATTCAAATCACCTGCCTTTGGATTGGTAGTGCCATTCCTTACCACTAGGCCGCTAGAGTACCCCTATTTTTCACTACTGTTGTTGTTAGGTGCCAGTAAGTCAAGTATGACTCTTAGAAACCCTGTGAATAACAGACTTGAAAATCAAAGACTATATTTTCCTTTGCCGTGCGAAATACATGGGTCCATTGCTGCAGTTACCACATCAATCCATGTTGTTGGAATCTTCCTCTCTTTCACTGACCATATACCTTTTCAAGCATGATATCTCTTTCCAAAGCATAGCTTCTTTTTTTTTATTTAAAATGTATATTAATGATAACATTTTGTCATCATCTTTAAATAAAAATTATAAATTTTCAAATTTGGGACTGCACTGGCATTAGATGTAATTCCTTCCTTCTCCAAAGGTTTTAGATTTCAATGTACTACAGTATGCACAGCCTCTTCTAGCAACACATCCAAAGTATGAGAGACAAAGCTTTGCCGTCCTTGCCTCTAAGAAGCACTCTAGCTGCACCTTTGTATATTTTTGTTTTGTTTTTCTTTCTCTTTGTTGTGTATCATGTTGGAACTGACCCATAGCTGACCCTCCAGTGGGTTTTCAGAGACAATTGCCTAGGAGGAGAATGCCCATCCCTCTCCCACAGAGCAGCTGATGGACTCAAACTGGTTGCCTTTGGGTTTGTAGTGCAGCTTCTTTCCATTAGGCCACCAAAGCTCCCTGGCTGCACCTTTTTAGAAGCATATCTGTTAATTTTTTTGACAGTCCATTTGACATTCAGTATTCTTCTCCAACACTACAGCTCATAGGCATCAATTCTTCTGTCATCTTTATACTTGTCCAGCTCTCAGATGCATAGCAAGAGATGGAAAAGACAGTGGCCTCAATCAGGTGTACCTTAGTCTTCACACGGATGGATATCATTGGTCTTCAGTAGTTCAGAGAGGTCCATGACAGTGACTTGTGGAAAACATTATGTCTCCTGATCCTCCTGACTGTTGGCACTGAAGGTATTGACTGTGGATCCAAGTAAGATGAAATAATTGATGGTTTCAATCTTTTATCCATCTATCATGATGTTGCCTACTAGTCCAGTGGTGAAAATGTCTGCTTTCTTGATATTGAGATGTAATCGCTATTGAAGGCTATAGTCTTTGATTTTCTATAGCAAGCATTTCATGTCTACCTCATTCAGCAAGCAAGTTTGTTTCATCTAACAATGTACGGTGATGATGAGGCTTCCTCCTATTCTTCCTGCCATATTCTTCATCACAGTGTCTAGTTTCATGACTTTTTTGCTCAGCATACAGACAGAATAGGTATCTAGACGGGATAAAACCCCAACACACACCCTTCCCGATTTTAGGCCATGCTGTGATCCCTTGCTTTGTTCTTGGTCTAGGTATAGAGTTCATGTGAGCACAATTATGTGTTCTGGGATTCCTGTTCTTTTCAATGTTAGCCATAATTCATTGTGACCACACAGTCAAATAAATGTCTTTGCATAGTCAGTAAAACACAGACATTCTTCTGGTGTTCTGTTTTCATCCAGGATCTATCTGACATCAGCAATGATATTCCTGGTTCTACAGCCTCTTCTAAACTCAAGTTTAACTTCTGGAAGTTCCTGCCAATTTACTAGCCATTTTTTATTATCTTCAGCAATATTTTGCTTGCATGTGATATTACTTGTATTGTTTGATAATTTCCACATTCTTTTGTACCACATACTAGAGAAGGAAAAAGAAGTGAGAGGACTACATCTTGTTGAACATGTGAGACTCAGAAAATCAAGGCAGTCTCACCAATTTCTGGCTTTCACAGATTTTACTGTCATTCATCACAGTGGTCGTCAGGGTTTATCAATACCCATAGTAGCAGTTTTCTTTTTTTAAAATATGCTCACATCTTCATGGAGGTCATGTAAGGGAAGTTTTTGGGGTCATGTTTGATATGTGTTACTGTTTCCCTCCCCTCCAAAAGCAGTGTCAGTTGAACTTTTTGACCAAGGGTGAAGGCCTGCTTAAGGTGTGTCTTTAAAATCCAGTAGAGAAAGGTTGGGTCTGTGGGCCCCTGGAGACTCCACTCTATGAGTTGGCTCCTAGCGTATGATGGCCTGTGGCCTTCGGGGCAATTTAATTGATTTTAGAAGGAATATTTTTTAGGTGAAACAGCAATCGTTTGTCTATTTCTTGTACTGAATAACTTGGAGTTGCTGTGATACTGTCACTGAGCCATAGTCGTGTCAAATTCCATAATGGTTATCCATCATGTACAATGTTTGGAGGAGCTTCCAGATTGATTCAGGTTGGGAAGCAAGAGTGGCATCCACTTCCTAAGCTAGATGCCTCTTGAAAGTCTATAAATGTACAGAAATGATGTTATAGAACAGAGTTTAGGTCTATTGTGCAAGGGTCACTATGAGTTTTATTCAACTTGATGATACTTAACCACTGCTAAATGAGACTAGTGTTATATCTAGAGGAACATTCTCCCACTTTGTACATCACTCTTTGTCAAAGTGCTGTATGAAGTAACCTGGGTTTGCTGTGAGGCTAAACCTTGTGCCATTGGGTATCAAATACCATAAAGTTTCTTCATATGGACAGTGTTTGGTGGAGCTCCCAGTTGTAAAACAGGGTTGAAAGCATGAGTGGAATCCACTTTCTAAATCACATGCCACTGGAAATTAATGAACTTGGAGAAATGACGAATGCTTATGGAAAGGTATTAGGTCTTTTGTTCATAGAGTTGATGACAAACACCACCACCACAACATGCTTTATTATGTTTTAAGCTGAAATTTACATGTAAATTAGAGTCCTTGTAAAGACTTTTGAGGAGAAAGATGGACAACCTCCTCCTGTGAGATTTATAGCCTCTGAAACCCTGGTAGAGGGTCAGCTATGAGTCAGTTCCAACTTGATGGCAATAAGTTTGAAGTAGTTTTGTTTGCTTTGCTTTATTTTTTTTTTAATTACGTTTGTGAAGGTTTTCTTAAATACCAACTTTTCTACATATACACTGGGTTTATGTTTTACATTGGATCAGCTTTCTCATTTCCCCCATTCTGTTTGCTTTCTTTCTCTTGATCTATCTTCCCTTACCTCTACCTTGCCTCTTTGCTTTTGGGTAAATATTGACCATTTAGTCTCATATAGCTGATTGCTTAATAAATCACATTAATTTTGTTTATTTTATAACAGAGTATAGGTAATATTATTTATTTTATAATGCAATCTATGATTTGATTGATAGAGGACCTCTAAAAACAGCTTCTGGTTTAAAATAAAAAAAAATACACTTGGGGAGATAGAATCATGGGCTTCTTTAGTTTTTATCTATCCAGTTGGTTGACTCTACTTAAGGAATTTGAAGTTTGTTCTAAATTTCTCTTCCATTCTATCTAGAACTTTCTATCATGTCCATGGTCAAAATGGGTAATAATGGTAAATGGGCATCATTTGTTTCTTCTAGTAGCATGCTAGAAGATGTCATGTTGACATAGGCCACTTTCGTCTGAGTCTCTTGATTTCTTCATTCTCCTTTGCTCCAGAACAGTAGAGACCAATAGTATCTTAGATGACCGCTTGCAAGATTTTAAGACTCCAGTTGCTACTTAACAAATTGGGATATAGAATTCTATCTTTCTATTATACCATTAACTAAGTTGTTCCATGAGGCTGTTGTCCTAAGCTTTTTAACTCAGATACCAATCCCTCAGGGTATTTAGATATATCTAAGAAACTTCATAGCTGTGCTTTTCATATGCTTTATTGAATATATGAATGCATTTGCAGCACACACAACATGTATATACGTATGGCTACAGGTACACTTCTATATGCATGTATATATTCACATGTACCTTCCTTTGCACACATATTAATGCATATTCATGTGACCACAAGAGGATATATGTATGTATTAAATGTAATATTTGGTCATTATTTTGTTGCAAATTTTTATATATTATTGCAATTACTGAAAGTATTCCTTTTTCTTATGTAGTTCTTAATGTCTTTATTTTCCTTGGTCAAACTGTACAGACTTCATTCATATTGCCTTTCTCATCACCAAACAAGTGCTTACTATATACTAAGTGATTTCCAATTTCTTACCTCCCACCCTTGGTAACCATCAACAATGCTGATTTCTGTGTGGTTATATATCCTTGACTTTGTAATATTTGTCTTTTTATGATTGACTTATTTTACTCAGTAAAATAAAATCTGTTCTCCATATCTACCCATGTTGTGTTTTGTGAACTCCTCATTATTTTTAATAGTTTCATAACATTCCACTTTATGTACATCCCACAATATACTTATTACCTGTTGATGAGTATTTAGATCATTCTTATCTCAAACACTTTGCTATTGAGGTGGAACCAACTCACTGTTGACCCTCCATTGGGATTCTGAGGCCATAAATCTTATGGGAAGAAATTGTCATCTTATATGGAACTGCTGGAGCTCCCTATGGACTATGTTGCCAGAGATCCCTGAGGAAGACACTACACTGTGTCCTAACCAGCTGATCTAATCAGGAATTCAAGGTTATTCCTATAGGATCATCTTAATATCAGATGCCAAAAGGCATTCCATAAAATTAAACATTTAAATTTGTTTTGAAAGAAGTGTCAGTGCATAAAGAATGTTTACTCTTACTTTTTCTGTCTTACTCTTTACTCTTTCTTAAACATGATAAAAAATATCTCTACCATACAAAAACGTTCTAATTATGAAATATAGGCATTCAGCAATGCCTATAATTTCTATTTTATAGATGAGGAACCCTCAAACCAGTGAAGGCACAGTGTAGATCATCCACATGAATGGTGAAATTGCCAAGAACGATGATGCTGGTGGTAAAGCAAGAGCTTGAGTCTTTTGAGAATGAGGATAAATGACTCTTTGTGAACTTGACCTGACAAACCTTCAGTTAGCACCCAAGTGTGTTAATATCAAAATCTATAATCAAAGTCATTGTTGTGCAGTTGTCACCAACTCATAGCTTATTACCCTTGAGCATATTTTCAGAGGCTATAATAATATAGAATAGAATAGAATAGAATATATATATAACTAGGTATTTCTGTCATCACAGGAG